GGGAGGGACCAACCAGGAAGTAGGAGGCAGGAAGGACCAACCAGGAAATAGGAGGCAGGAAGAGGGGGGGATCCAACCAGGAAGTAGGAGGCAGGAAGAGGGAGGGACCAACCAGGAAGTAGGACGCAGGAAGAGGGAGGGAACCAACCAGGAAGTAGGAGGCAGGAAGGACCAACCAGGAAGAGGGAGGGACCAACCAGGAAAATAAATGTGTGAACTCTTGTTTTCAGCCCCTTTTTTGTTGTTCTTTTTTTGGGACGTCCTGTCCAGCAAAGTTTAAATTAGCTAGTTTAACTGTGAATATGGAAGTTTTATGTATTTTATCTTGTTTTTTGCTTTTTGTGAAGCACTTTTATACAATGTTTAAACAATGTTCCTCCAGTATTTTGTGTCTTTTTCTTAACTTGACAGATGGTAAACAGCTCTAATGAACATCAGATGTAGAGATTTTAAAGGACTTTTTACCTGAAAGCTAGCAGATGGCACTTAGAAGCATAAAAAATCAAAGCTAAGTGAAGAAAAGTAGTGTTTTTGGATGCATTTGTCATAAATAGTGAAGCAGGGTAAAGGGGCCGCATTGTCTCTGAGTTTGAAATCGAAACAGGTTCTTTGAAATTTAATCTGCACGTGTACAGGGGCAATGTTTTACTTCTGAATCCGAAACTCAACACCCGTCTTATCACAGTCTGGGGGACTTGGCGTGGACTGCCCCCCCCCCTATAAGATAAATGTTGGTCTCTCCCGGACCTCTGTTGTTCTTCATCTGACTCAGATGAGATTGGGGGAGTTGGCAGAGAGGCAGCAGCCTCTGTTACTGTTACCCCGTATCCAACGGCAACCTTTCAAGTCAGATCCTGGTTCCTACGCAAGGAGAAAAAAAAACACTTTTGTCATTTTAATTTAGATCCTTTGTTAAAGTTAACTACCATTTAGAAAACTTAACCCTTCCCAATGGCAGAAAAAAATCAGAGGAAAAACAAGGAAAATGTTCCTCTTTTCACATAAAGATTAAATCTTCTGACCATTATATCAAATCCATCCTGAAAGGGCATCAGATGCTCTGTCACTGTGTAATAAAGATATATATTATCTATATTACAAGTCCCATATCCAAATAATTGGCACAACCCTTTAAAGCCTGATCCAAGAAAAATAGGAAGAATATTCGATTATTTTTGTCTGATGTTTTTCTTTGGCCCCTCAACAGCTCTATCTATCTATCTATCTATCTATCTATCTATCTATCTATCTATCT